GAGATTAAGTTGAACGTCTTCTCACACCGATCATCACCAGAAGTCATTTTTACGATTTTTTTTGCAATAAAAAAGAAACACTAGCATTAGCAGTTAGCATTGCAGTGCTAAATGATTTTCATGAATTTCTGAGAAAAACTGCAGGAAGTGACGGATCTACTGTAATGAAAACTGATTTGATAAATAAAATAATACTGAAAGGTTCCATTTGTGCGTCCAGAGGGCCGCATGAGGAGCTACGGCGGGCCGGATTTGGCCCCCGGGGCTTGAGTTTGACACCTGTTCTGGATGATCATTTTTATTAATGTAATGGATAGTAAATTATTTAAAATTGTAAATTGAATTTTGTAAATAATTTGAAATTAATTTGCAGATTTATGGATGTTTGTTTTGATGTTGATTGTTTAGTTTTAGTTTAGTTTGAAGGTGTTTTTACTTTGTAATGCTTGTTTTGTTTTGTACCTGGCAGGCTGCCGTAGCCAATGAGGGCAGGCCTTACAGAGGCCTTCAGGTGCATCATGGGAAAAAGACAGAACCTCAGCCTGGTTTGGCTGTTTGCATCTTAAAGCTTAGATTTTGTATTTTAATGTTTGTGTTTAGTTGCCATGGTGATGATGATGTTCTGGATCAAAGAAATAAAACACTAAAAATCGTCCGTCGTTACTGGATGAATTAATGAATGAATGAAGAGCTGCTGCTGTTAAAGTTCTTATTTTGAAATTAAAGAGAAAATTGGTGTTAAAACTGAACCTGGATTTTCTAAAGTTGTTTCTTTTTCATGATGTTTTTATCTTAATATAAAAGATTCAATATGATTCAGTCTAATTACAGTAAAATGAATAAAATATGAGCCATAATGTCACTGAAGGAAACGATTCCAGACTTTCCCATCGTGTTTCTGTTTGATGGAGAACCTGGAGAGTCCTGACCGGGATTCAGACCCACAACCTGCATCTAAACCAGCCAGTAAGCATTTACATTATTTACATTTAATGTAAATATTTACATGTATTTTATCAACAATAAGCCAATCATGATGTTTCAGTAAATTAATCCATGATGTTAAAGTTTTCATGTTTGCTGTTAAAGGAAGGAATCCAGTTTAATGAATGGGGCTCCTGTCCCTTTAACTGGGAATGTCTGCTCTATTTGGTCACATTTAATATCGTCATTAATTACAGATTCTTCTGCTTTACAGTCACTGCTCAGATTTACTATGAAATCAGAAAATGCTAAAAATCTGGTTATTAAAAGAAGAATATGTTGAGTGTCTCTGTCAACCATCTTGCAGCCAAATTTGTTCTTCAGGGCAGACCCGGCCATGCTCGGTTCTGCCCGTGACAGAACCGAGCATGTTTTTCACCACCGGGGGGCGCCCTGTGCCGCTGCGAGCAGGAGTTGAGGTCAGAGGAAGAGTCATCATCATCATCATCATGATGCCTAAACTGAGCCGGACTCGAACCTGCATCCGGAGCCGCAGAGCCGAACCCGGCGGAGGAACCGGCAGATCAGGTGAGCTCCTGTCCCCGGGAAACGCGCTCCCTGAGCCGGCCACTCTCAGCGCGGAGAGTCGGTCCGGATAAATCCTGCCAGGAAGTTCGGAACCGCGGTCCAGATCTGAGCTCGGTTCATGATTTAAAAGTTATAAATTATTAATTTTCAGAGAATAATTAAAAAATAATATGTGAATTAATAGAAGCTAAAAGCTGTGATGAATTTGTTTGAGCCGGAGGAAGGGCGTGGCGTCACAGGTGAGCCGCAGGTGTTCAGCCAGTCACGTGGTCCCGACGTCCCGTTCCGGAGCAACTTCCGGTTAAATTCAACAAACTTTGAACGGAGTCTGGTGGGAGCGGGTCTGACGTCAGATCGTTGATTGTGATCAGTGCAGCAGGTCAGAAGGTAACCAGGTAATAGGCGAGCCAATCAGTTCGATTCGGACTTGGTTTTGGTGAACCTGATCAGCTCTCAGAACATTTTCTTCATGTTTCATTTGAACATGAACTTTGACCTCTAAACCCATCAGGACCCTGATGCCCCGCCCCTTTTCTCTGAATTCAGAACTTCTTGAAAATCAAATTCCTTCGATAATTTATAAAATAAAAAAGTTCATCAGGTTCCATCAGTTCATCCTTCATTCTGTCACCAAACACATTTAATGGAAAAACTCCGAGCTGAAACCGGGATGCGGTTCCAGCTTCTGGCCACCAGGGGGAGCTCACGCTGTTTAGACTGATTCACTCCGCGGTTCGGCTGCAGGACGGGCAGAATGTCCGGACGGTTCCCCTCACAACAGGAAGGTTCTGATGAAACAAACTGATGAAGTTGACTGGAATCACAGGAACCAGAACCTGAACCCAGTTCAGCCAGCCTGACTGGGTCTGAGCTGGAAGGAAGAAATGAGGTTTTTGTCTGACAGCAGAGGAAAGTTTTGCTTCTGCTTCTGGTTCTGGTTATTGGGATCCAGTTTCAACATGATTCTGCCCAGTAAAGCTCTGGGAACGGCTGGACCTGGGCCTGATGTCTGGTCCAGATGAACCTTTCAAGAACTGAAGGTTCCTGCAGAGTTTAGATTTTAACGTTTTAATTTCAGCTCAGAGTAGGAACCTTTGTTCTCATGTGTTTCCGGTACACCGTTAATCTGACGCACAGCCACATCCGCTAACAGTTGCTATTTAGTCGCTGCTCTCGGTTAATTTCTGCTTCTGAACGATCTGATGGGAAAACACCCATCAGGTTGTGCTAAAAGCAATTAGCCTGTGAGCAAAGCTATGCTAGCCTGAAATAGAATCTCAGTGCTAAGATTTAGCAGCTAATGCTAACATTAGCATCCACAGTCACATTTGTAAAGAAGCTCCTTGACCAGTCTGATGGTTGAGGAAAGAATAAAAACAGTAAATCTCAGTTGAATTGAATCTGCTGCTGATTTTGTGGATATTTTCACTAAAATATGATCAATTATCTTCTGATATCTAAATATGGATCCAGTCTGCTAGCTGACCTTCCCAGCATGCATTGCTGCTGTCCTGAGGAACGCCTGGCCGTCTTTCTGGTAATTAAAGTGTTTTTTAAGTGTTTTTCGCTGAATAGACGCTAAAAGCTGAGCTGCGTCTCCACCTGCTGCAGCACAAGGACGCCGCCTCTGACTGAAGCTTTTCATCTGCATAATGGACGACCTTCAGCAGGACGACCTCCAGCAGGACGACCTTCAGCAGCAAACACACGGTGGAGGTTTGATTCCCTGCTGCCTCTGGGCAAGGCAGCAGGCTGTCGCCATGGTGACCTCAGCCAATGATTCACTTTTAGTTTTCAGCTTTTCACACTTTTCAGATTTTCTCTTTCACATTTTTATTCATTCTCCATATTCTCTCCATCCTTCCTGTCTTTTTCTTTCATTCTTCCTTTTCAATGTTTCTGATTTTAATTCATTTTTTTTACTTTGTTTTCCCTCCATTTTTCACTTCATCCCGATTTCCTCTTTCGTTTTGTTTTTCATCTTTTTATTTCTGCCTTTGAAACACACACACACACACACACTCTCTCTCTCTCTACTTGTCCTTCAGTCTCTTTGCTTCTCGGTTCTGAATGTTTTTCTCTGTTTGCAGCTTTAAAAGCTTTTAGAAAAACAAAACAAAAACTGGATGAAATGAAAACAGCGAGACTCAGAGGGAGACTCGTCTCCTCAGATTGACCCGATCCGACCCGATCCGGTCCGGGCCTCACAGCCATAGACATAATATAAGGATAGACCCTCATGGACCGCTCTCATCTATTGTCGCTGACGAGATTTAGGGCGGCCATCTTGGAGCGATCCACCCCTCCACTCAGCGTTATGTGTTTAGCAGCACAATGACGTATCAGCGCATTTAATATTTCATAACACGGTTTTCTGTTACTGGAAACCATATTCAAACATCTATCAAAGCAACATTTATGAACAATTCTTACTTGTGAAATGTCTGTGGAGCCCTCGCATCAATAATCCATCGACCAGAACAACAATATCCCTCAGTGCTGAGGCATCTTCTGCTGTTTTGATTGAGCAAAGTAGGAGGGTATACCGCTCCAAGATGGCCGCCATATTTCCTGGAGCAGCCAATGCGGGGTCTACTCTTATGTCTTTGCTTACAGCAACAGCAGATCCACATCAGTGCTGATCTCTGGTTCCTGGTGCCATAGCGCAGCTCGCTGCTGCAGGAGGTAAGAAGAGTTTGACCTGAAGGTTCTACAGAGTTCTGATTCTGAGAGCTGAATGTAACGGTATGCCACACTTTTCAGATTTGATCTATAAAAAGAATCAAAAAGCAAAAATTATTTTCCTTCCATGTTTGTTTCTTTAATAAATGAAGAGTTTGGGTCACCTGGAAACTGAAACTCTCCCTCCTCCTCCTCTTCCTCTCGCTCCTCTTCCTCCTCCTCCTCTTTATATTCTGCTCATTACTTCGTTTCTCCTGGTTTCTCTCTGAAAGCCTTTTATTCTGATCTGCTGTAATTAGCTGCTACTTTCTACCCACTGAGCCTGTAACTGCCTGATAATGTCGGCGTGTCAGTCACAGAGCCGAGGCGCTGAAGGCTGAAAGCTGCAGGTTCCCTCTGAACCATTCTGGCCTTTTAATAACCTGCGCTCTGATTGGCTGCTCAGGAAAACACAGCTCTTTGTTTGGTCGTCAAAAACTTCAAACTGGAAAATGTTCTGGGTTCTTACTCTGTTGGGTCTGCAGAACCAGGACCGACCCACATGGAGCAGGAGAGGAACCTGGACTGGGTTGATCTGGACCAGAGACGGGCAGCAACCAGAATCTGCAGAACCTGGAGTTCCTGAACGCACCACATTCTGGTTCTGCTCTCCATCATTCATTCATATTCACATCCAGAGAGAGAGAGCAGCTAAATGATCGCCCTTCAGCCTGACGAGTCCCCCCCACTGCTCTCTCACACACAGGCACACTCAGGTTACCTCCTTGCTCAACATTAAAAGGCAGCTGTCATTAGCCTCACCGCAGTGTGTGTGTGTGTGTGTGTGTGTGTGTGTGTGTGTGTGTGTGTGTGTGTGTGTGTGTGTGTGTGTGAGCTGCCATTAGGCGCCCACTGTCATGCGGCTTGGTCCACTCTGCCCTGCGGCATGCTGGGTAACCCTCTAGCTCGCTGCCACTCTGAGCTCGCAGCCACAGAGCTAAATGACAGGGTCGGCTCCTCCTGGACGCCCCGCGCCGCGAATCCAGCGCTCCTCTCTGCTACCCTGCAATTAACTCACACAGAGCCGGAGGAGGAGGAGGAGCAGCTAATGTGATGAAGGTGTGAGAGCAGCCATGAGACAGGAACACACTGTACCACCAGAACCGAGAAACCGGGTTACAGAACCAGGACCAGAACCAGGACCAGTGATTTACTGCTGATCTGAATCTGCAGCAGCAAAAACTCAGAACATCAATAATACACAAGAAATGAACAAAAATCAAAGCAGCTCCTTTAATCTGTTATTATTATTATTATTATTATTATTTCCAATTTGCTTCTTCTGGATTTCTGTTTCAGAAACAGATTTAGGTTTTAACCCAACTCCAGTCCATCTGCCTAGTCAAAGTCCAGTCCAGTTGGAGAGGTGTGAAAACTAATCGACCTCTGACCTCTGGTCCTCCAAACCCCAGTCTGGGTTCGGTTGAAGTGAACTCTGGTTCAGCTTGAATGTGAAAGCCAAGCGGACCAGAGACCGTTCCAAAAGCAGGAAGTGAACTACAGAGCAGGGTATTCTGGGTAAATGTAATCAAAGCTAACGTGCTAGCCTAGCGCTAGCAGTAGAAATGGCTCCTGGTCTTTAGCCTAAAGAGAAATCCTCCAATCGCTAAAATCCTCCATCTTGTCTCCATCTGGTGAAGAAGGAAGTTGCTCTCAGTGTCTTCAGAGGTTTTTGTGTCGTTTCCTTCAGTGGTTCTTGGTGCAGCGCCCCCACAGGCCAGGAGGGGAACAGGTTGGTTTGACTCAGAGCCACAGCAGCCGGAGGTGGAGCAGGTGATGGAGTTCTGGTTCCAGTAGAACCGGGTCGACCGGACTGAAGGAGGGAAAACATTTACAGATTAAAAGTTTCTGACACAGAATCTCCATCCTGATATGCTGCTGGATGGATCATGTTGTTTTAGGTGCCTGCTGTGTGTGTGTGTGTGTGTGTGTGTGTGTGTGTGTGTGTGTGTGGTCAGATCTCCTCCTTCAACTCAAACTGCTAACTGGATAATTAGCCAATCAAACATGAGAGCTTGTCCACCAATTAGCTGCTAATTGACCTGAGAGCCTAACCCCCCTCTCTGCAGCCCTGTGTGTGTGTGTGTGTGTGTGTGTGTGTGTGTGTGTGTGTGTGTCTCAGCGGGTGGCCCTAATGGAGCAGTGAATTCATTACTCTGTGCAGACAGGCGGTTGTGGCTGATGGACAGACGGTGACATCATCAGGCTGGCAGCCAATCAGATGCTGCCATCCCTGACGACCTGCAGGTCAGCTGATCCTGGTCAGGAAGTCAGACACTGTTTGGTAACATACTGACTGTCTGGAAGCTGCAGAGAACCCCGGATTGTCATGAAACAAGATTAAAGTTCAAAGTTCCTGATGACCTGAAGCTTCTCATCATTCAGTTATTTCTAACTGTCACACTTTCAAACTAAATGTTAGTGAGCTAAATGTTTAGCTCCTAGCTGGCCAAATATTTCCTCAGCCTTAAACTGACTAAATATTCAGTTAGTAAACGATTTAGCCAAGTGTCTCTAAAGCAATCTAAATATAACGTTTTAAGTTAAATATTATGTTTTATAGAATTCACTACATGTGAGATTTATTAGATATTTAGATTCAAACTAAATATGTAAAGTGTGACATTTATATTAAGAAGATATAAACTCCTTTTTTTCTCTTATGAGTCAATAACTCAAATTATTTGACAGTAACTTTTCTGAATTATCAGCACCAAACTGCTCTGCTCAAGTTTCAGCTTGAAAACAAGTTTGTTTCTGAAAAAAATGTTTTGGATTAAATGAATATTGTTTCGGTAATATTCTCCCTCTTCAGATTCGTTCTCAGACGTTTCAGAGCAGAAATCTGAACAGAATGGCTCTGCTGACAGAAACACGGACGCTGATGGAGGCAGAACGTTGAGAAATACAGATTCTTCCATGGAAACGGGTTTGTTGTTGAGTCAGAAGCAGACAATGAGGCAGGAGGTGAAAATGTTCATCAGAGCTGAAAACAAAAGCAACCCCGTCTCCGTCAGCGCAGCGCCGAACAAAAGGCAGCAACACAAAGAGCTTCCTGCAGAGCTCAGGTGTGTTCAGGACAAAAACACTCTGAGGAGGAGGAGGAGGACGATGAAGGTCATCAACCTGCTGCTGGATCCAGAGCAGCGAATCAGAAAACCCGGAAAAAAAACAGCTTCAGAAAAGATCAGGAGACGATCCAGACGGAAGAAAATAAAGTCTAAAAGAACCAAAAACCTTCAATTATCACATCCTAACAACTCACCTGACCTCCACCTGACCTCCACCTGACCTCCACCTGACCTCCACATGACCTCTGTCCACTCATTAGTCATAATCAGATCCTAAAGTTGTTCCAGCATGAGCAAAAACTTTGACATCAATAAAACAGAAAATATTTATTCAGAATAATTTACATCAAACTTTAGACAATAAAACAATTAATTGATAAAATACTAATTGTTCCAACAGTATATCTGATACGCAGTTAAACATAAAACCAGTTCATTAATGGACTCATCATACATAAGAATCATAAAAAATCATCCAAGTTTTATTTTTATTTTTGGGCAGCAGAGTAGACACGGCCCTGAGGGACGCCTTTCCTCAAGCTTGTCCTTATAGCACAGCAACCTTCTTCCTGTCCCGTCCTTATAAGGCGTGTAGGCTCCTCCCACTGCAGCATGGACTCTGTAGAAGCCACGCCCCCTTCAGATTTCCCACCAATCAGCAGTCAGAAAATCTTTCTGCTCAAAATGAATGAAGAATAAACAAAATGGAGTTATTTTACTCTGACATCAGTTCTTCTGTTTCTGTTTTCTCAAAGTTACAGTCGGTGGCTGGTACCAAGCCGGTTCTGGTTCTGATGGAGGTTTCCTCTGTCGCCCCCTGCTGGTCAGGAGGAGTGATGCTCTGCAGGTTTTCCTCAGAGAGAAACTTTTAAACTGGTTAGAATAACAAACCAAGCTCTGTGGGTAACTGGACAGAATGTGATTTTTAACTGAAATGATTCTTTTTTGGGTTGTTAGTTCTGAATTATTGCTGCAGAAATGAACTGAACTGAGGTGAACTTTGACCCCTGCAGGAGAACATTCCCATGTTTCAGATCAGGAACCGAACCCAAAGTTCGGATCTGATCAGTGAACGATCAGAAAGAGAAAATCTGCTTTCCTCCTGAAGCAGCTTCACAGAGACGCTCTGCTTCAACCGACGATTAAAATAAAATCATTAAATTACAAAATTTCTCTGCTTTAACTGACATAATTAAATTAGTTGATTGATCAGTTTATGATATTTGGTTGATCAGGGACAGGAAGTGGCATCGTGTGTGTGTGTGTGTGTGTGTGTGTGTGTGTGTGTGTGTGTGTGTTGGGACTAATGAGTGAGCATTGTGTTGCTGTCCATTAGAAGTCACGCTGTGTTAGTGGAGCCACTGTGTGAAAACAACTGGGAGTCAATTATACACCAGTTAGCGAGGTCGGGGTGTGAGCCACACACACACACACACACACACACACACACACATGCACACACAAAAACACAAACACACAGCGCGGCTCAGCTGGGGGAGTTCCTGCAGACAGATGGACCCGTTTTTACAGCGCAGTCCTCGACATTCGCTCCGTATTGTAGTGGCACAAAGAGCAGCTGGTTCTGGTTCTGAGAGGACGGATGTTAGCCAGAGAAGGAGGAGGAGGTGATGAAGGCCTATTATCTGCTCATTATGTTCAGCAACAGTTAGAGAAAACATTCCTGATCTTTGCTGGTTCTGTCTCTGACCAGAGAAACTCATCCAGGATTTAGTGGCTTTGATTCCTGCAGCAGGTCAGACTGACGACCAGAAGCTGCAGCTGGAGATCTGACTAGAACCAGGAGGGTAGAGACACCACCTGGTTCTACACCACCCGGTTCTACACCACCCGGTTCTACACCACCCAGTTCTACATCATCCAGTTCTACATTCCTTCACTGCTGGTCGTTTATAAATCACTGAACAGATTAAAGATCTGCTGCTGGATCAAGCTGCTGGTTCTGGTTCTGGTTCTGCGCTACATCCAGAATCAGAACCAAACATGGAGAAGCAGCACTCAGCTTCTATGCTCAACAGATCTGGAACAAACATCGAGAAAACTGAAAAAAATAGCTGAATCCCTGAGCTCCTTTCAGGTTGGTTGAAGCTGCTTTGATTATCAATAACTGGAACATTGATCAATATATTGATGTGGTGATTTTGACGGTGGAATTTGATCATATGGAATGCTTATTGCTTGTTTCATATTTGGTTGTTGTGTTTTATTAAGCCTTGTTGCTGAAATGTGCTAAGCTAATGAATCTGAGTTTGAGCATTAATGCTGTTACTTATGGATAAACATAATTAATCACTAAATTAAATCAGTTTGTTTTGCTACTAAGCAGATAAAATCTTTATTTTGGTGTATGTGTATGATGTGTATGTGTTTGGTGTGCAGGGGACCAGTCTGCTGGTTCTGCTCTGCTGGTTCTGCTGTGCTGGTGCTGGTCCAGTCATCCAGTCATCCTGAATGGGTTTTCTTGCTGCTTATTGGTTTCAATATTGGCTTTTCTCACATCAAATATTTCAGAGATGAATTAATTACGACTTAATGAGGCTGTTAGGCAGGAAGCTGCTCATTTTTTAATTATCAAGAATTTATCCTTCAGATCTCTGACAGATATTTCAGATATTTCAGGCCAGTAGGGGGCGCTATCAAGGTTCAGACCATGTTTTCCCCTCATGAATAAAATCCTCACCAGCTCTTTGAATTTCTCTGCCTCTTTTACAGCCTCGGCTCAGAAATGAATAGATGAATATTATTCCGAGGCAGCTCAGAAAATGAAGCTATTGAACGGAGTGACTTTGTCCTCCAGATGAGTGACGAGCGCTAATCTTCTGCCTGAAGGGCTTCTGTTCAGGGAGCCGATTCTCTTTTCACTGAGAGCATTATTAATATTATCGCCGTAAAAAAAGGAAGAAAAACTGAGGTCAAACCATCTCTAACAGGTCAGCGCACAGAAAGAGCGTTTTTTTAGTATAAACATGACCCCTGATGAAGAGGAGCAGTGATCCAGACCTGCTCAGCACACACATACTGGTTTTCTCAGCATTATGAGGACCAACATCAGAATGCTGCTTTATTGGGACCAAAAGCCTGGAAAGCTGGACTTTGGT